ACTCCCAGCCACTATAGTTAGAAAATGCGCCTACATAAATACAAAACAGCTGAAATATCTAGAACGGAATGAACGGCTAACGAGCCGATGACTCGGCCGATATTTGAGCCGAGCCTATTTTTAGTATGCCGAACCGAGTTTGAGCCCACCATGGCTCAATCCGAATAAGGCCCGACCGATTGTGTTTTAATGCTATGACAACATACAAGTTACGACCGTATACAATTGCTGCAGTTTATCACCGAGATTTGAGACTATAAAATGTTTCCAATAATAACAGTTACTAATCTTTTTTGTTTACTTCTTTCAGTCTTGTTTTTAAGTTTTTCCAATAACTTGCAAAGAATCGTTTAGGATTTTTTTGGATCGACTTCAATGGAGGTAAATTTTGTTTGTCACTTATTTGTATAATTTTTTTCTACTCATTACAGTTATATAGTAATGGGCCCGATATAAATCCGGAACCCGAAAAAATACATAAGCCTAGCTTGAATCTATACTAATGAAACCCGATGGTATGTGAGTTTGAGCCTATAGTAACAAGGTCCGGTCGTATGTGAACTTGAACAGCTTGAAGCTCGAATCACATGACCCGATTACCAGCCCTAATGAAAATTTGAGTTTTAGAACATCAAAATAGAAATTTTACCATTTAATTTTCTATTTAATTCTTCCATTGAAATTGCTCTCAGAAACTATACATAGTGCCACTTTAATTGTCCTTGATAAAGTATTATTCTTTCTTTACAAATTAAACTCAAAAGTTACAAATCAAACTAACCAAATTGAAATTTTATGTGAAACATTTTTCAATAGATAACATTGTTAATTCACTTAATCAACTTTGACAATGATCAAATACAACTTACTAATTTGATATTTATTTTTTAAACTTAATTTAGCACAAATACAACTCAAATACCTCGGAATATTTATAAACAACAATCAAAATTCTTCAACAACAAATCCAAAATGACGCATCTACTTGTAGGAGCAATAAGTCCTAAAGAAATGCAAGCAACATTGTTAAGGTTTACTCCAAGATAAAAAGCATCTTACAGTTAAGACAATAATTCGATAAACCTAGACGATAATAAATTGGTTGTCTTTCGCAGTACTGGAAATCAAAAAAGAATAGAGTATTTTAAAAAAAATTGATCGTTAATGTTACAATTTTTAACGAGATAGTGCTCCGAACATATATGAAACACATACAATTACATGATTGAAGATTGCCCCGAAATTACAAAAATGCCAAAGAAGAGGAGACGATTATATATCAAGAAGAGGATACCATTAGAGATTCAAGTTTCAAAATTCTCTCCTCTTCTTAAGTTTTTATTCTCTCTAGAATAGTCACCTTTCTTTTTAGTAAATCTTTTGCAAAACCTTTGTGGAGAATACCGGTTCAATCCCTGCGACCTTACAATTATTTCGGTGATGCCTTCCAAACCATAACTCAGATCATGTCGACGATCGTATCTATTGTACTTTGCAATTTGTACACTCGAAATTATATTGACTAGTGGGATGAAAATAATATTTTGGTTTGGTCGTTTATATAATTAAATGTCTATAAATTAATAGAGTTAGGATCAACGAGATTCTATTAATTTAGCGAAATATTAATATATTGAAATATTTTTTTACACGTTCTCCTTGAGTCGGATCCGGATTTCTTCTATCTAAATGAGGTTATTAATTTATCGAGTTTCTACTGTACTCTAAAAAAAATAATGAGTTGCAAATACAATAAATAATATTAGGACACGTGGATGGTGATTTTAATATTTTAAAGCTACAGTAAAACCTCTATAAATTAATAATGTTGGGGCCGGGATATTTTATTAATTTAGCGAGGTATTATTATATTGATAAATTAATAATTTATTAATTTAAAGAGGTTTTACGTATGACCTTTAAATTTCCAAGTCCAATGTATTAGTTACAAGACACTTTCTATAAATGTACATTCATAGAATGTGAATCTGTTGCTAGATTATCCTGGTGAAAATAATTTCAAAGTATTGAAGAAATTGTGGCGGATACCATTCAAAATCCGTCAATGACGAAGTTGAGGATGATTCAATAGTTTTGGAACCAGTCACTCGGAGAGAAGCATCGCAAGCGGCAGCAACTCTTCACAATTTTTTGTTGCAATACGAAAAGATAATGCCCCAACTTTTTAGTGCAATGAGAAGATTTAAAGATGAACTAAAATATATATTTGAAGTTAAAAAAAAAAACAAGTGACTATATATTCATTTTTTACTAGACAATCTTAGAATTTGGATTTTTTTATTAATTATTAATTTATAGTTTCGTTGAGCCCAATATATATATACATTGGGATTTAAAAAAAATATTTTCTTATTATTTTATCAAATGGGGTCCAATTTTGTACTCGTCCCAAATTGGGGCTAAACAAAATATTAATTTTATCGAAGTTATTAATTTATTTATCGAGTGTTAATTTAGAGAGGTTTTACTCTATATATTTAAATTATATATGTACCAATAAAAATAATTAAATTTATTATTATATAATCATTATTCTTTTTTTTTTTTTGGTTTTTAAAGTAAATCTCCATGTAAAACCCCAACTCAAAAGGGGGAAAAGGGTTTACAGCTTCAGGCAACTTCATCAAACAGTGCAGAAAATGGGGAAATCGGGAGACCTTTGGGACGATTCTGCCCTCCTCAAAGCCTTCGACGGCGCCGTTTCTAAATACAAGGTAACCCTAATTACTTTTACTCGTCCAATTTCATATACTTTTTGCAAAATTATATGTCGATTTTCATTTGTGTTTTTATCAAATTTCATATAGAAGATGCATGGGTTGAGTGCGGTAACCGAAGGAGAAATTGTCGATAATAATACAGAGGAAAAATTGCCAACTGCTGAAGCTGATAATGGAAGCAGCGGATTGGTCGATAATAATACAGAGTAAGTTCTCACATTTCAAGAAATGTTGTTTATTTTCTAATTTTGTGTTTTTTTATATCGAAAAGTTCGTAATTTTATCGAGGAAGAGTCAGCAGTGGAATTGTGGTGGTGTAGTTTGGGTAGAGAAGTAGAAATCAGTTTATTTATTTATTATCTTATTTTATTCGGAGCTGGAAAATCAGTTGTTCGTAAGTTTAGGTTTTTGTGTGACAAATTAAATGTCCGTCTTTTTTAAGCATGGCAGATCATGTGAACTAACGGATGATGCGCGTATTGAGTTTTATGATTTTATAAATGCTGAGTGAATGTCTGATGTTAAGCATCGGTCGTTTTGTTTAGGATTTTTTCAACAAAAACACGAGCTTTATGCTACTCATTCGTTTTGATTTCCATGACAGAGGTATAGGCAAGCTTAGATTATTGGAAAAGTCTCTCGTGGTTATATTTTGGATCCCTTTTGATAGAGAGAAAAAAATCTTAAATCGTATAATTGAGAGTTCTGTTGGTATGCTGCTTCGTTAACCATAATACGTCACCTTACCGAAATTTTAATTTTGGATTCTTCAAGACTTTCATTAGTATCCTAAGGTCCCGTTTGGTTGGCAAGATGAGATTAGCCAAGATAAGATTAAATAATCTAATGAGACCCAATTATTTTATTGGAGCTTGAAGCATCCAACAAAAAAAACTCATTAGAAGGCAAGATAAGCCAAGATAAACCATGATTATATAATTTTGACGGGTCGACCGGGCAATTTATTGAGGATACCAAACATCAAATTAAGTCCAACTATTTAGTTAATCATGGCTTATCTTGGCAACCAAACGGGGCCTAAGGAATCAGAAAATGCGCCGAAAGAAACTTTTTAATGTCAATTATGAAAGATTTGTTAAGAGTATTGATGCTGATTTTTGCTGACATTTACGTCGATTATAAAAACTTGCCAAAATCGATTTCTGACTTTTGATTGCATCTTTGTTGATGAAGACATGTAAAGAAAAATGATGACAGTTACGCCGATGTGGAGACTACCGCCAAAATCGGAGAGACCGCTAATAATTTACACCTTTTACAAATCAATGAAAACCTGTCTTTGGAAATAGAAAATTGTGCAATGGAATCGCATAACGTACGGAGTCAAAACGAGGCTGCATGGGGTTCAATTAATCAAGAACAGTATAACCAGTTGTTGAGCAAATATTACGAGATTGAAGATCAGAGGCAAAAGATTCTTCAACAGCTTAACCAATGCAACAATTGGAATTATCAAAATCCAATTTCCAATACATCCACTTCTGAAGAGTATTATCGAGCATCTCTTCCTCAACAGCCTTACGACACTGTTACCTGTTACTGTTCGTATGGTTGCCAAAATTGGGTTGTTCCATGCGACTCGTTAACAGCTTCGTGTCCCGATGCTATTTGTAAAGATGCTCGGAAAGGGCATTCGATTTCGCATGAAGAATCTGATGATATTGTTAAAATTGCAATGGATGCCGCAAAAAGAGCAGTGTCGTCAATAACGCAGGATGCTTCGATTAAAGCCGGTGTGAGTGCAAATGAAGGTGAGATAACTATCCCAGGTTTCGTATATATGCAGATTATTCTCGTTCTTTTCAGTGTATATACTGTGACTGTGATTTCACAATTATGAAAAATTCTCTTAGGTTGATAATAATATGGGTAAATTACGGCCACCTCCCCGAGGTATGACCAAATTACGAAAAAACCCCTCTTGTTTGGGTAGTTACAGCCACCGCCCTCATTTTAAATATTTTTACATAAAATTTATGTAATTCGGTTATTTACCGAACCAAATCGTATATTCAGTTCGGTAAACGGTATGAAATGTTGGCGTACTGAAATTTCGGTTTACCGATTTAACAATCCCCAAATTTACCTCTGGAGGGGTATTTTCGTAAGATAATACATAGTTGAGGTGGTGGCTGTAATTACCGGGAGGAGGGTTTTCGTAATTTGACCATAACTCAGGGGTGGCTGTAATTTGCCCAAATAGTATTGAATGTTTCCATTTAATTTAACAACATATATTGTACGAGTTAGAAATTCAGTCCAAATTAACGTAATATGATTTTTAAGCAATGATATCTTTATTTTCTTTGGTAAAAAATAATTCAGGAAATTCAGTCGAGATTAATGCTCAGTCAACGGAAAGCAGTAAGACTGAAACAGATCTTGCGGCGGTTCTGAATGCTTGGTATTCTGCAGGTTTCTACACTGGAAAGTAAGAATAAGGGGTGCACTTTTTCCGTCTTTTCGTATACATAATTATGATCAATAAATGCTTTTCATACAAGGCAATAGGTTCGTTGACGGACTTGTAAGTTTTATTAGAAGCTTACTCTCGAATCTGGTTTTGCCGACTGTGATGTAGGTATCTTTCGGAGCAGCAGTCTGTGGAGAAGAAGATAAAACGTGGCAATGGCCTTTGATCAAGCCTTACAATATTAATATTAATATTAATGAAGAGATGGGTAATTTCTTTCTAGTCCTAAATGGAATATAATTTATCTTCGAAGGAACGGAATTTTTCTCATGCAATGAACATATGCAAGAATGCTGAAGAGAGAATGGTATGCATAGATTTTTTACGTCTACCTACATATTACTTTCTTCCAGTCTTTTTCCTTGTTCTCACTTCGTGAAATAGAAATAGAGCTGTAACTTTTATGTTTTGCGAATTGCGACGTTTGAATTGCGAATCTTGGTTACGTATTTTTACCATAACTCTTATGTCACCAACTTTAATTGCGAGTCTGCAACAGTTCAGATTGCTTTGAAAAGCCATTTTATGAAATTTAGTGTATCTTCGTTGAACGACACATTTTAAGGTAAGCTTATACGATAATAAAATGACAATAAATTAAACCTAGAAAATGGTTAAAAAATTAAAATGACACAATAATGGTTTCTTTTTTTTATTTTCTTATGAACAAAGACATAATAACGATTTGAAACTATAAAAAGTAAAGTACACTAAAATGATTTTTGTTCTCAAACTTTTGCACCTATGAAATTAGTCCCCAAACTCACTATTTTTTGACACTTTCGGTTAGGCTGTCAAGTTTTCCTATTAAGTTGAACGGAATCGTCACGTAAATGTCGAATTGGAACTCTCTCAGTCTACTTGACCAATTAAACATGAGTGGAGTGACACGTCATTTTTGTATTATGAAATCCCTAAAGCCTACTAACTTCCAATAAACCCGTAAACCCTACCCAAAAATTCCCTATGCCAATCCTCCAATTCAGGTGAAATTCGGCAATAGCAGAATCGCCCAACCGTAATTTCTCAAATTTTCGAACGTTTGTGGAGTTGATACATGACAACCGCGCAACAATTTTTGAGTTTGGTAAGTTTCTTTAAAGTTGTTATCTATGAACTTCAATTTCGGTAACTTGGCAACTTTGCAGTTTCGATTTCATAGAAACACACTAATTATCTTTGCTTCTATAAGAGCTTAGAAGTGGATTAGCAATCTTGAACACTCCATTGCAATCAAATCTCGAAAAGATCGAAG